GATGACTTTAATTTATATGTCAATGTTACTTTAACACAGTAGGCTAAAACCTTAAAAATACGTATGCATCAGAATAAAAAAATGTTATTCATTGTGTATTATAGAGGACAAAATAACATTCCTATTCATACTGTATAAATTATCTCATTTTCAGCCAAGAACTTCTAAACTGCTTTTTTCCTTAATAAGCAATTTATTGTTTTCATGTTTTTAATGTTAGATATAAAAACAAATAAATAACTGAGTAAGAATATTGTATTTATTTTTAAAACTTATAATAGTGATGGCAGAGATTTTTTCATCAATTTGTTAGACACCATGCAAAAGGCAAAAAAATCCTACCTTTTCATTGGCCTTTAGGAAATAGAGGAGTTACCATTTAATCTTTGGCTTTTCAGGTAGAATGGAAGGTTAAAAAAAAAAGGCTTCTGATCACAGGGTTATACAAATGTCTATCTAGTCTATCACAAAGTACTGAGGTAATTAAGTCATCCCCTAGATTTCCCTTAGGATATTCTACTTAGCATAGAAGCATTTCCTTAATTTGTTGCAGTCACTAAGGACAACAAGATTCTTACAGTGTTTGTTATTTTATTGCTTGACAACAAATTGTATTTGCTGTTTTATTGCCTCAGAGTAAAAATGCATAATTAATTATCCATAATCAATCTGTTGGAAAATTAGCTACAGGAAAATGAAGATTTATCAAAAGCCTTATTGGTTAATCAAATGTATACTCTGTAACAGACATTCCTAACTCCACTTTCCTTTTTCTTCTCACCAGCAACATCTAATTTTGACTATTTTACTTACTCTTCTATGAAATCTGAGTTACTTGGGCAAAGCTGACCCCACTCCTCGCTCATAAGAGGAGGTCTGATTAATAGAAATCAAATCAAAGTACTACCATCCCTTTGGCCAGAAATTGGTTCAATTGTTCAGGATTAAGTTAATCAAGATGTGATGGGCTCTCTTCACCCAATTCGGCCTAATCAGAGGAACTTTTTTCTCTCGATGGTGATTCTCTATTTCATACAAGATAAGAATAAGAAAGCATAACCTGAGGACAAAACTGACATATCAGAAAGACCCTAGCCCTATCTTCCCGGAGTCTCCACTTCCTTTCCCCATCTTGTTATAAGAGATGAAACATTTCCTTACGGTTTAAAGCTGGTTTTGTCAATATTTGGGGTTTCTGCAGCTTATAGCAGGAAACATTCTAACTCATTAGTACAGCCTGTAATGAGGAATCCAGATACTTCATATGTACAAATTAATTTAAGTTCTTTCAGGGTTACCATCTATCTATATTAAGCCTGTTGGGCTTTTTAACAACTTCTGCCTCAGATATTCAACTCCAAGATCAAAGTTAAGTCTGAAAGTCAGCAGAGGCCACACTGCCAGTCTTTAGAAGTTATAAACATTACAATTTAAATCCACCAGGGAGATGCAGACTACATTATTTTCCCACGCAACATTCAGTGAGCCTTTTGTTCTAGTTTTTTAATGTTTCTTCTAGCTATAGCATCTCCAGCCTCAAAAACCCTTCCTTGATATTTCATCCACCTCCAACCATTGTCCCATTTCTCTGTTCCCATCCACAGCAAAATGTCTAAAAACAGTTGTCTGAAACTCCTGACTCCCCCTCCAGATCTCCAGTTCTTTTCTCCACCCCTGCTCAAGGTTTTCATTTCACTGCCCCACTAAAACAGCTGTCATCAAGAGCACTGATGGCCTCCATTTTGTCAGGTCCAATGGTGACTTTTACAACCTCATCATACTCAGCCTCCTCCATATCACACACGTCTGTCCTATTAATGGCTGTTCATTCATAATTTCCTATTCTAGCTTCTTCTGTATTCAACCTCCAAATGATAGGATGCCCCCAACCACTCGAACACAGGACCTCTTCTCTCCTCAACCTAAACTCTTTCTTGATGTGATCTTTACCAGCCCAGTCTTTATAATTATCACCTAAATGTTCATAACTTACAATGTCATTTCTCCTGCCCATTTTCTCCACTGAGCTCACAGCTTGTACATACAAATGCCTGCCTGAGATGTCAACTGGAGGTCCTCAGTCATCCCTCTTGGTCCTATTACCAGCTGTATTTTCATCATAGTGCTTTGTCTCCTGCTGACATCAACCT